AATCCTGATCGGTATGAAGGATCAACACCTCAGTCTAGTCCTGAAGAGCCGAGAGGGTATACGAAACCAACCGATCGCCGTGAAAACCAGACTAGGCTGGACAGTTTGCGGAGGAGGAAACCAAGACGATGCTAGTAATCTGGTGCACTCAGTTTTCCATGTGTGCCCATGCGAATCACAAACGGATGAAGATCTACACAAGGCGATGAAAGAATATTTTGCAATTGATAGCTTGGGAGTTGCGCAGCCGAGAAGAGCGCTTTTGTCTGCAGAAGATGAACGAGCTAAGTCCCTGCTGGAATCTCGCACCGTGTTCAAAGGAGACCGTTACGAAACCGGCCTGTTATGGCGCTACGACAATATTCGTCTACCAGATAGTCGCCCGATGGCTCTACGCCGGCTACAGTGCCTCAAGAAGCGAATGGACAAGGACCCAAAGCTTGCTGAAGCGCTCAATATGAAAATCGCCGATTTCGTCATGAAAGGATACGCTAGAAGACTCACCGATGAGGAGCTAAAGCAACCATTTAATCGGGTCTGGTATTTGCCTACCTTTCCGGTTGTTAACATCAATAAGCCGGGAAAAATCCGAATCGTATGGGACGCCGCTGCCTCTGTGTACGGAGTATCGTTAAATTCGGCTCTACTAAAAGGTCCTGATCAGCTTTGCGCACTGCACGCTATCCTCATCCAGTTCCGGGAAGGCAAAATCGCGCTCACTGGAGATGTGCGTGAGATGTTTTTACAAGTCCTCATGCGCTCGGAAGACCAGCACTGCCAGCGGTTCTTCTGGTACGACGAGGAAGGTAACATCGTGGTCTACATCTTGCAGGTGATGACCTTCGGAGCCTGTTGTTCGCCTAGCAGCGCTCAGTTCGTCAAGAATATAAACGCGGAACGATTCAAAGCAGCATACCCAGCAGCAGTTGAAGTCATCCAAAAGCGGCATTACGTCGATGATATGCTGGTAAGCGTTGAGACCGAAGATGAAGCGCTTCGACTTGCGCAACAGGTGAAGGAGGTGCACTCGAAAGGCGGATTCGAGATCCGCAACTGGATAAGCAACTCGAAACGCGTTGTGCGGGATCTGCAAGAAGAACATACAGATGAGAAAAACCTCGATCTGTCACTGGAGCTAGCCACCGAGAAAGTGCTCGGAATGTGGTGGTGTACTGATTCGGATACCTTTACCTACAAGGTCGGATGGACTCGCTATGGAGAAGCGCTATTGAAAGGTCAACGACACCCAACGAAGAGGGAAATGTTACGTGTTCTTATGTCTATGTTTGATCCGCTCGGACTGATCGCGCATTTCCTCATGTACCTGAAGGTGCTGCTTCAAGACGTCTGGCGTTCCGGTATCGACTGGGACGATGCAATCGACGATGCGCTGTTCGACAAGTGGCAAACATGGCTGCAAGTGCTCCCGCAGGTTGAACGAGTCAGCATTCCTCGATGTTACCGTGCACGAACCTCTCCCAGTTGTAAAGACATCCAGCTCCATACGTTTGTTGATGCTGGAGATAACGGAATTGCTGCGGCCTGTTACCTGCGCTTCGCTCAAGATGACTTCGTAGAATGCAGATTAGTAGCAGCTAAGACCAGAGTCGCTCCATTGAAGTTTCTCTCAACACCTAGACTGGAACTTCAAGCAGCATTGGTTGGCGCCAGGCTAGCACAATCCGTATCAGATGCACTGTCATTCCGAATCTCTCGTCGTCACTACTGGTCGGATTCCCAAGACGTACTCTGCTGGATCAAATCTGACCACCGACGTTACTCCCAGTTCGTCGCGTTCCGAGTTAGCGAGATCCTGGACACCACGGAGATGAATGAATGGAGATACGTTCCTACAGATTTGAACGTAGCGGATGATGGGACGAAATGGAAAGGACTTCCTAGCCTGGCTTCAGAGACGAGATGGTTCACCGGGCCCGAGTTCTTGCAGCACCCGGAAACTGACTGGCCAGACTCATCTACTAGCTCAAATGAAGCCGTTCTCGAACTTCGCCGTAGCGTATTAACTCACTTCATCGCTCCGAAACCAATAGTCTGTTCAAGTGATTTCTCAGACTGGAATCGGCTTGTGAAAGTGGTTGCTCTAGCTCATCGTTTTCCTGCCAACTGCAAACTGAAGCGCCTCCAGGAACCGATCGTAAGCGGACCTCTCACCAACCACGAAATATTCACCGCCGAATCCTATCTCATTCGCGTAGCACAACAGGAAGCCTATCCGGAAGAAATAGCAGTCCTTCAGAAGTCACAACAATGCTCGGATCAACTATCAACTCCGATCCCCAAGTCAAGTCCGCTACACCAGAAGACGCCATGGCTGGATCAGAACGGAATCCTGAGGATGCGCGGCCGCATCGCCGCTTGTTTCTACGCAACCGAAGATGCTAAACACCCCACAATACTTCCCCGTGACCACCACACCACCAAGTTAATCGTTGCACACTACCACCAAAAATACCACCATCAGAATCACGAGACCGTGATCAACGAGATACGACAAAAATACAACATACCGAAGCTACCTGACGTTAAATTTCCCTAGCTTACACTAGCTGCTGCTAGGGGGATCCTGGTTCTCGTTCAAAAACACAAACCACTGCACTTAGCTAATTAAAATGCGTCTTAGCACACGGACGCCTGATATTAAAAAAAGAGGCCGATTTTGGGCAATGGCCGTTCTTTCTCCCAATTTTCCTTCATCCTAGATTAGTATGGTTGTTTGTAGTTCTATAGCAGACATAACGTAACGGCAGAACATTTTCACAGCGATACAGAACCATGTCGCTTCTGTGGTATACTGTGGTATACTCCTGGACAAGAAACGTGAAGGTTCTGAATATATAACATAAATGACAAAAACCTATGAACTTGTGACCAAACGGTTACAACACACCCTCGCAATATAACAATGCCATTCGATTAACGAGATTTGCTTAGTCAGATGCTGTTGTTATATTGCTTGGATGTGTTTTGGTTCTGGAAACATTTGCGTTTGAAAATAATTGTTTACGTTTGGTTGTTCTATCTATTTCAATTGTTGGTCTAGAAATGTAGAGTAAATTTCAAGAGTTTTCTAGATGGCATTCCTAAAGTGATCTGCACAAAATTCTGACTTTTATGGAGAAAATTTCTAGGGATTACCGGACAGAATCACAAGATTATTGAAAGGAATCCTTTAAAGTAAAATAAATCCTGAAGACATTTTGAAATGATCATAAGGAAATCCTTGAGAAATGCAACAAACTAAATTATTTCTTTAAAGGTTATCTCAGGATTTTCAAAGTTTCAAATAAATACATAGTTTAGCTTTAGATTCCATAAAAAAAATTAGCATCCAGGACTAACCTTGCCTCAGCCGCTGATTGCACGAGCAAAACCCATACTATTGAAACATGATTTTTATCAACAATTTCCTTGGATATTTTTCAAATGTTCATACATATATCACTAGAAAGAGGAAGACTTGAAATACAATTCCTATCCGAATCAATGGTAGTGATTTTTTTAATTCGTTTGCAAAAATACCGCTCATTTTTTTGGTGATTTGAGGCGACTGCTCTTGGGTTAACACAAATTGTCAAGATTCTGAGACTCCAGTTGAGAAGATCCTTGTCTTAGAAAATAGATTAGATAATAGAGCTAGATTCCAAATTATAAGAGAAATATTGAAGACATCGAACTTTGAATATTTATTATCAAAAATTATATGTTAAACGCTTAAAGAAATTCCCGATTATTTCCCGGTTTATATTATTAATGATCTTAGTAAATTAACTCGTACCTTTTGATACCTTGTGTATATTTCAAATTCCGTCAATATGTATATAATTAAATTATACTTCAATAACAATAATCAGATAACACTTCAGGTCTGTGGCTACGATATTGCCCTGTAAAAACACAATTGTGTACAGTTGCAATAACATTCTATTACAAGCCCTGTTCAAGTGAGATAACAATAGCTAGATGTAGGTACTTCTCACCGACACTCAAATTGAACTAACCGTGGCAATGCTCCATTGGAATAGGTCATAGCTAGTGTTTTTTTGTTTTAGTTTCGTCGTACACTGATAAGACCAGTCGATAAAATTATCCACTGCCAGGTCCAATAATCGGTTTGGCATTGAAAGTAACGCGGCCCCGATGTATTCGGCGTCTGAATACGGTTTAAAGCAGTAGCCCTAATAAACAAATACCACTGTATCCCGGGTGGGTAAACTATCCCACAAATGGTTTGGATGATACCCCGAACCCGTCGTTAGGCTCTCTTTTATGGTTATTTTTATTAGGGAGGTCCGGCATAATCATTCCCTAGATACCACCATGTTGCTCTGCTTTGGTTTGGTCTACAATTTTTGACGATCGGTGAAAAAAGTTCCCACGTCACCAAATCCGTAATCTCTCCTCGACCTACTGACCCAAACCACCCGTAATCTGCGAAAGTCCATTTCTGACGAATCTATTTCTTCCAGATGCCTACAGGCGAAAATAAATTCGCCATCCAACAAATAAGCATCATCACGTCGCGACTGATGACGATGGTGCCCCCGAAAAAAAAGCACACCACGTTGACCTTTTGGAACGCAGAGAAAGAACCATTCTCCGGTTGTGGGAAAACATTTCCCATTTACGTCAGAATTATTTATTTATTTAGAAAGTATTCGTCATCCGTGTTTGGCGAGCGCACGCTGATGGTGTTCGATTTCACGTGATCATCATGAGATCGCGGCACGTTAACTATCAGCAACTATTCTACACTTCCCTTGCGGAAATAGGAATTCTTTCACTTCTGTGTTGAGACAGGGTTTGACTTTGAAAAGCTTTATTACTCTATACAGCAATGGATTTTGTTTTTATATATGAGCTGATAACAGGGGTGGAATAGTACCTACTGAACGTGGGATTAGGCGTCTTTCGCGCGCGCACTTTCTGATTTACAACTTTTGTATAGTTATAGTAATCTTTTGTTTTCTTGTTTATTGCAGCGCCGGCGGTTTGGTAACAGCAGTAGCTCCGGTTGTCATCAAGGGCAGAGGTCTTTGGGTAGGGTGGTCCGGAATTACCCTATCCGATGAGGACACAATCCCCGAATCGGATCCATCGGACCGAACACCAACGGCAGGTCTTCTGTCCAATCAGGTAGTATCAGTTAACGTGGAACCGAAATTGTTCGATAGCTACTACAATGGATGCTGTAATGGGACGTTTTGGCCGCTGTTTCACTCGATGCCTGGCCGGGCAACGTTCAACGCAGATAACTGGAGCTCGTACTATCAGGTGAATAAAGAGTTCGCCGCACAGACTATCCTGGCATTGGAGAGATGCTTAAATCAAAAGCACAACACTGGAGTGCCGATTGTATGGATTCACGATTACCATCTAATGCTGGCGGCCAACTGGATCCGTGAGGAAGCCGAAGAAAAGAACCTACCGTGTCATGTTGCGTTCTTCCTGCACATTCCCTTCCCACCATGGGATATCTTCCGTTTGTTCCCATGGTCTGATGAAATCCTGCAAGGAATGCTTGCTTGCGACATGATCGGTTTCCATATTCGAGATTACTGCTTGAACTTTGTGGACTGCTGTCAACGTAACCTCGGTTGCCGAGTTGACCGTAAGAACCTGCTCGTTGAGCACGGTGGTAGATCCGTCAGAATTCGACCTCTGCCGATTGGAATTCCATTTGACAGATTCGTCGAATTGGCCAAGAAGGCGAAACGTGTACTCAGGACCAATCAGAAGATCATCCTCGGTGTAGATCGCTTGGACTACACCAAAGGACTGGTTAACCGTCTCAAAGCCTTCGAGTCACTTTTGGAGAAGCACCCAGAACATCGCGAAAATGTGAGTATGCTGCAGATTTCGGTGCCGTCTCGAACCGACGTTAAGGAATATCAAGAACTAAAGGAAGAGATGGACCAGCTGGTTGGCCGGATAAACGGTCGGTTTACCACGGCCAATTGGTCTCCCATCCGGTACATCTACGGCTGTGTTGGTCAGGAAGATCTGGCCGCTTTCTATCGGGACGCCTCCGTCTGTCTGGTGACACCCCTGCGGGACGGAATGAATCTGGTCGCGAAAGAATTCGTCGCTTGCCAAATCAACGAACCACCGGGCGTTCTGATCGTATCACCCTTCGCCGGAGCAGGAGAGACCATGCACGAGGCCCTGCTCTGTAATCCCTACGAAATTGAATCCGCCGCAGAGGTTATACACAGGGCACTTACCATGCCCGAAGATGAGCGTTCCCTGCGAATGGGACGCATGAGAAGACGAGAGATGCAACAGGACGTCAACCACTGGATGAGACAGTTCCTCAAGGCAATGGATTCGCTGGAGGAGGATGAAATCGGAACTACCACGATGCAACCGGTCACCGTGGATGACTTCGATGATTATCTTTTGAAGTAAGTATGATGGTGTGATGAAGCGCTGGAACGAATAGGAAGTCTATAGAATGTTTACCGTACCTGTGGTAAACGGATTTGCGATACAGGTGATTGAACTGGGGTCACTTGCCAGGTGAGATTGTAGAGTTTTCAGAAGTAGTTTGAAGGTCCTACAGACAAACTTTAAACTTAGTTTAGCTTAGACTAACTGCACATTTCAATGGTTGCTACCCCATGATTGAGCAGAATCAGCGACATTGCACAATGAATCAACTGGATGTGGCTGAGAGTGTCCGTCCATTCTGATTGTACATTTTTCAGTGACTATTTGGTCAAAACTGGTACATCTGGATAGCTGGAACACTTAGCTTAATAGTTAAAATATTTGCGATGTTATAAATGCTGATAAGAAAAATATGCGACCCTAAGTAATGATAAGCAGCTTGGGATGAAGCCCATGATCTTTTGCTTAGTAAGCAATAATGGTTGCCACTAGGCCACCAAACACCTTACATCACAGCAAACCATTATTAACGATGATCGTTCAAGCCCGTTAAGCTATACAAATGGAAAAACTTAAGTAGGGTAGAGCGCCACTTCGTCGTAATCGCCCATTTCCGTTCTATTGATCAGAAAAGATCAATAATATCAATGATTTCACCACAGACAAACAGACATAACACATTAAATATTTCTCACTGTAAAACATCGTCACTAAAACATTACCGCCATCTATTGAGTACACAGTGGTGGGCACTACGTTGAACAGATGGCGGTAGTGTGTAAACGTCAAACGCAAGGGAATTGACTATGCGCGCCACAGGTGGCGGTACTACCAACTACGATACTTTTAAATTGTTCGTTAAATGCTTGTTCGATGAACAACTTACGAGTGTTATGTCTGTTTGTCTGTAATTTCACCGTGCACAAATCAATAATAGGTTTTTTAACGCATCGGAACGCATTAGCTACAACATAAATCCTATTAGAGCGCATTGTATGAATATTAATGCTCATTGTTCTCAAAACAAAAGAAGCGCTCCTAGCAAATCCCCTTTCTCTACGGTTATCCGTAGGACGAAGAAAATCTAATGATGTTTCAATGCGTTAGGACGGAATTGAAACTCGTAGAACGAATTTTTTAAACAATATCTCAACCATTTGTACTCTTTATCAAATCCAACGGTACGGTACGTATGGAAAGGTGAATAAATTTAGCAGTCATTTTAGACAGAAATATTCGATTTTTTTTCTTCAAACCCGTTCACAAAAGAGAGTTAAAGCGCGGGTTGTGCTTAGTAGGGCAGAAATTAGATCAAAAACCCTATGTTTTCGAACCCGGATCAAACATACGTCATATTTTACCGACTTATTTTTTTTTTTTTAATTCTGAGCATGTAGTAGTGATTTTCTACTTTCTTTTCTGCAAATACAACATCTATGCAATCATAACTCGAAAGCGTTATTTTCAATCAAAATGACGCCTGACCGAGAGGGACGAAAGTAATCCATTCTACACTTCATTTAATGGATTTCAGTTACCTAACTTTGCTTCATATATTCGATTTTTGTGGATTTCTTAGATTCGTAAAGAATAATAACACGCGCTTGCACACTGATTCTGACAAATGCTGATTGTGATATATTAATATGTAAGCGTAAGTTCATCTAATCTAATCTAATCTAATACAAACGCAGTCAGTACGAGAAAGCATCCTGGAAAATGATTAGGTTAGATGAGGTCTAATCATTTTTCTTGTCTAATTGCTGTTTACAGCATATCTGAGATATGATATAAACATCAATACGGCCAGGCCTACTGCGTTGTATTTGCCCCAAAGATGATACTTGGAAATGAATGGGAACATTTCTTGAATCTACAGAGGTGGAAGGATGCGTGGACATACCGTACCAAACGCTCCGAGTTACTATGTGTAGTTGTGTGTAATGTGTAAATATTTCTACAATATTGAAGAATCATAAAATAATGCAATGGAAGGATCTTACCGAATTTTCTCCTATGTTGGTAATGATGCTTTTGCGCTTTAAAGTTTCGTTGGATGCATCCGCTACTTGTTTATCATGGGCTTTCCTCCAATCTAATATGTAAGCGTAAGTTCATGTGCGGGAGCCTTGCTTTACCCTATATCTCAAGAACGAGCATATGTTTAATTTGAAAAAGCTCATCGTTCGACATTTTGGACTTGGGAGACCTTGCGCCACCTCTAAATGACAACGAAAAAATCTCAAATTTTTATAAGTTACATAATTAGTCCCAATAATAATGTTCCACATGGGACAACATGTCCCTGAACGATTATTAAACACAAGCTCCACCCTAATTTCTATCTGAAGGTTTAGACAACTCTTGTTACTTAAGTTTAAGATACAAGCCTTTCAGCACCGACGCTAACATTTCGTGGATAGAGGGCGGGCTCTTCTCCACACTCATTTGCAGAGTGTAAAATTATTGACTGCTTAGGCTGAATGTGAAAGCATTGCACTATTCAATCCATTGCTCTGTGCAAACGGTAAAGGACTAGGCAATGAAAGAGCCAACAAAAACATTCGGTCACTCACGAAAAGGCGACTCACACCGCTTGCCTTCGCTCACACCACATGCAATTGAGGCATTTTTTCATAGAAAATGTACGCTCAAAGATTCGGTACCATCACGGAAGAATAATGATTATCCGACTGAGTGCTCGGCTGTAAATCTGCCTCATCATTCACTGCCTCGTGAGAGTCTGAATGATTGAGAAGTAAACGTACTTCTCAATCATTCAGACTCTCACGAGGCAGTGAATGATGAGGCAGATGGCAGTTCATATTCATGAAAATGACTCATTGAACCTGACTGTTTTACGCACTGCTCATGGGGCATCCTTCAGGACGAGGACTTGTTCCATTGTGAATTGTATGATCTTGGTTGCTGGAAGGGGATTCTTATTCTTAGTCTACCCCTCCGTTTTTGGCCCTTCATACAGCGCCAAGCTGAATATGATTTGTCAGTGGAATCAAGTCCTCCAGATTGGATTGCCCATTGCTATGTGCAGACGCCTTGTCTCAATCAATCAAATCAAAACAAGCCTATCAGCACCGACAAACCGACGTGACAGCTCATAGAAGCTACATTCAAATTCTTGCCCAAGACGTCATATTTAAAATACGTTAAACACTACCGCCATCTACTCATCCGATCGCGTCATATCGTGAGCAAGGACACGAACACACGTAAAATCTATATAGACTTGGTTTGCGTCTCACCTGGTTTGACAGATCTGATCGCCCGTTTGACAGATCGAATCGCTCATTTGACAAAATGAAATGCTCCTTGCGAACCGTCAATGGAAACATTTGAATGATTTTCTATTTTTCATTGAAATTCTGAATCTGCAAGAGAAAGTTCAAAGTTTTATGTGCATAATTGAGGAATTCCAAGTTGCAATTTTCAGGTTTTCAAGAAAGAAAGAGAGTGTTTAGAGGTATTCGAATGAAGTTTAAGGATTCTCGGGGAAAATTTGGGAATCTTCCAGATGTAATTTTAATCTGATCTTTAAATATCGAAGTAAAATGTTATGGATCTATGAAGAATCTTGTTAGCAAATCATGCGAAAATTCAGAAATCTTCTGTTGGTAGTTTGAAGATCTTCCAAAGGAATGATTTTTTAAGTCTGTTAGGAAGAGTTCAGGTTTCATCCAATGGAGGCTCAGGAAGGCTTCCTGAATAAAAACTACAAGGTACAGGCCTATGGGGTTGTACGCAATGGTGACGTAGGACTACGTGGTCTAATATAATAAATCTTATTTGTTAACTGCAGCAGGAGCTTGTGTTTTGAGTAGCAATAGGAATTTGAGCGGGGTTCTCTTTGTTTATACTCTTTAGTATGACGCGCTTGACACAGATGGCCCACAGCGACTCACGAAGAGCTACTGATTCCGATCAATAGCGGTGTGGCTTCTTCCTCCTTATATGGATGCTCATGTGGGCTGCAGCTCGCTGCTTGCAGGCAGCCTTTCGTTGTGTAATGGAGAACAATATTGAACGCCACGCGCCGAAACCACTGCTGATGCCGACGACCAGACACCACCATGCACGGTGATTGGACTAAATCCGATCAGCGATTGAAGGCAGCCTTGATAGCTAGCTGCTTGCGGGGAGCCTTTCGTTGTGTACTGGAGAACACCGCCACTCATCACTCGGTGATTGAATAAACACTGTTTGGTGAGACCGGATGGAATTAAACTTTGAAATCTCTGTTAGGGAAATTGCTTTTCGCAGGCAATCGGTGATAATTTTAATTATCATAGCAACAGTTGCACATTTGTGCAATTTTCAATAGTGAGATTTTAAAAATTGATTATGTCTTAAATTTGCGTAGAAATATTTCTGATTGATTGCTGATAAAAATATTCAAATTGGTCCAGGGGAAGCTGAGTTATTAACGTTCAAAAGCTTTCATAATTTTGTTACATGTTCCATTTTCGGTTTTCACAAAATGTACCCCCATATAGAAATCACAGATGTAGTCCTACGTCAAAAAGGCTCAACCGTTTTATTCGGCTTGTAGCTTTTTTCGAAATGGGAGTGATATGCTTGCCTCCCCTGAAAGTTCCCCATGCTACCAAACCGTCAGAACCGATCCGAAGATATAGCACTTTGAAACACTTATATTCCATTGAATGCCAGAAATGATCCACTACTAACACACAACCTTCACTCCCAGCTACATCGGCAGCAACCACAAGCTGGCCCTGCTGCTGGATTACGACGGTACGCTGGCACCGATTGCACCGCATCCGGATCTGGCAACACTGCCACCGGAAACCAAGAACGTACTACAACGCCTGTCGAACCACTCCGACGTCTACATTGCCGTAATCTCGGGCCGTAATGTGGATAACGTCAAGGCAATGGTTGGCATCGAAGGCATCACTTACGCCGGTAACCACGGTCTGGAGATTGAACACCCGGACGGAAGCAAGTTCATCCACCCGATGCCGATGGAATACGAGGGCAAGATGACCAAACTACTGAAGGCTTTGCAGGAAGAGGTAGGAAACTAAGCGCAATCGTAGCTAACGGGAAACTGATCGTATGTTCAACAGGTTTGTCATCATGGAGCCTGGGTTGAGAACAAGGGTGCCATCCTGACGTTCCACTACCGGGAAACACCGAGCGAATTGCGACATGAGCTGGTCTCCAAGGCACGCCAACTAATCACCGATAACGGCTTCAGTGTTACGGAGGCACACTGCGCTGTGGAGGCGAAACCACCGGTCCAGTGGAACAAGGGCCGTGCCTCCATCTACATCCTCCGTACTGCCTTCGGCGTGGATTGGAGTGAACGAATCAAGATCATCTACGCCGGTGACGACGTTACCGATGAGGACGCCATGATGGTAAGTTGTCATTCGGAAATTCCCTCTCTTGCTAGACGTTCATGACATTCTTTTCTTTTTCAACAGGCCCTCAAAGGTATGGCAGCTACGTTCCGCGTTACGAACGCCCAGATAGTCAAGACCTCGGCCGAGCGGCGTCTACCGTCCACGGATTCGGTGCTGACGATGCTCAAGTGGGTCGAGCGGCACTTTATGCGCCGCAAGCCCCGCTCCAACAGTCTGACCTACAAGAACCGCAAGAAGGATTGCGTCAAGATGCAACTGGCGTTCGAATTGGTTCCGAGCCCGAACCATAGTGCAGCGAACAGCTCCGACGAGCGAGATTGAAGCAAGGTCGAAGGATATAGGGAAGCAATTTTTATATCTAGGGATATTTAAAGTAATTTTAGATAAACGGAAGGAACAACTATCAAAATACAAGTAAAATATGATTTTGCAAACTGTTTTCTGTTTTCGAATGTTACTCTTACTGTGAGATTAGCGTTGATACTTTTAATACTGTTCGATAAATAAAGTTAGATTTTAGTCTAAGACCAACCAAGGTGTTTCTTTCAATCCGACGGCAAACTCGCTCTCCTGTTTGTATGTAGAGTAATTTTATTATCCTTAAAAGATTTTCTCAAGTGTGCATGACAGTGAAAATATGGTACAAAAAGACTTATCTTCCAGTAGCAAATCATGGTACTATTCTCGATATCTCGTTAAAAAGCGATCTTGACTGATATATAGCAAGTTAGTCTTCGGAAGCGATCCGCTATGCACAACACAACAACGCACTCTCACAAGACCTTTCTACCTAGGAAACGATTATCACCCTATATATATATATACCTTAAATAGCTCTGACGAACGGTGGCCGTATCTAAACATCCAACTTGGCATCCTTGCTTCCAGTTGCATTCCTACTAGAGAATTAGACATTGGTGTGCGATACTACCAACCACGAGATGATGAAGTAGAATAGAAATATTGGATACACGGCCAGAGCTTTTCGGCTGGCTGGTTGGCTGTCCCCGAGAAATATGATGGACGCTAGAAGAATAGAAAGGTGATTAAAAACTCCGATACGCAATTAAATCGCTTTGTTTTATTTTTATTTAATTTATTTGGAAAGCTCAATCACGGGTGCTTTACGGAGCCGATAGTAAGGCTCAATCGCTACAATTCAGGGCAACTGGTACAAAACCCATCAATTCATGTTCCTTAGTAACTGGTCAAGCAGCAAACTTCTAGTTTACACGGTCGATTAAACCAACTCAAATTTGATTTTCGTTCACTCAAACGTAGGTTAGTGACTCAGTATAATTTTCTTTGACTTTCTAGGAAAAACTTTTCGAATGTGTGGAAAATCGAGTAAAGTTTCACTCAGTCTATAACAATAGTCTACTCAGAAAACTGTGTCAAAGAAGTCTATATTTTGAAATATTTATCCCGCAGCAAACTTGGCTGACAATTTGCCGAAAGTCATCACCAACGGACGCAATGATCGTGGTCCGGTACCTTTATAATTTCGTTAGAATTCCATTTAAAACATCCCCCAATTTTCTCAGATTTACAATACTCTCAATCTTGGGATTCTAATATAGATAAAAACCGAAGTTGGTAGGTAACTTCTCAAAAATAGCAATCCAATAAGAATCACATAATGCATATGATTCTATGATATGAATGACATGGTAATAAATTCCATTGGATTGACTGGTCGTAGTCAAGTGTCATACTGGTGAATGTTATGTGAAATTCACGTAAATTGTACGTGATCTCTTGGTGTGAAAATTTTCGTTGCATATTTGTAAGTTCAAAATGGCGAGAGAAAGAAGTGTGAGTTCGTTGTTGTTGTTAGGTGATTTGGGATTCCCAGACGGTCTTTTAGAAGTTTTTGAGCGTAAGTGTAATTAATTTATAATTGAATATTCTGTAATTCATTGTACTATGAATTGTAGAGTGTGAAATCGGATTATTTGAGCTCCTCACAAGCTCATACAAAGACCTACAGGAGTGTTTACAACTAGCGGACGTAAATTGGAATTATGATGTCCTCTTCGAGCTTATCATTTCCTGGAGAAACAGAAATGTAAGTGTCTAAATTTTATGATTTTACAATAAACCAATAAATTTCCCATTGCAATTTCCGTTTTTTTATACAGAAAGCAGCGATTATAAGTGCCTTGGTCAGCAACGGAGGCACATCGAGCAACAATAATATCACCCAAAATTCCAAGCCTTAAGAGTATTCCAGGAAGTGAATCTCTTTGTGACACCCTAGAAGTCGTTCCCGGAGTTGAACGCACCATATTAACGGTCTTTATATGTATAGCATTAAGAATAGGTTTGATACAGATTATAGTAACTAAGAAATAAACTAAGCTTATTACGCCAATCTAAGCAAAAATCCAACTAATGAAGTTAACTTTTATTCAAATAAAACAAGAGAACGAAATAATGCAATCTATGTGAATTGTTCTTTTCTGGTTTGCCTTTGGTCAAAAAGAACATTTTACTAGAACGCAATGAGGCCTATTCTGTGCTGCGAGTGAGGTGAGGTAACAAAAGTCACCTCATGTGAGGTGGCTCTTCGAGTACATCAACTAAAAAATCACCTCACATAAACTGACTTCACTAGTGACAGCGAGTCACCTCACCTCACTCGCGGCGCAGAATAGGCCTGATTATTATTTAAGATACATTTAATAAAGAAATTAACCAAAGAAATCTACCATAAATTCACATAAACATTGCTGCAAAATCCAGTGAAATGTACTAGAAAATCACGTAACTTTTAAGTGAAGCCAATTTGACGTCCAGCGGTACGTCCGATAAAATTTACGCGAAAATCTCTTGATTTTCAAATGACACATTTGAAAAAACAAAATTATTCCAAAACACGTAATATTCACCTGAAAAGTTCGATGGAAAATATCTACGTACCTTTTCAGGTGAATATTACATGAATTTTATTTGCAGTGTGTGATACTCCCCAGAAAACTCTTGAAATTCTCTCTACACGCAACGAAAATTAATTATTTATTTTAAGTGTTTCATTTATGGTATTCTGCCCAATCATCAGATTAATGCTTTCTATTTAGGAAACCACATACATTCAATGTGAACACATAAACATATGCGTAATCAATAATACAGTTCATTTGACACATGATCTTCATTCACCTTCTGCTCCTTTGAGCATATATCTGGATCAACAATAGAAAAGGGCCCATCAGCATTTGTAAACAAACCGTTCGAAAACCCTTTACTCACAAAACGAAGACCATCTACGTAAACCAACACCATCATCGGATAGGGGAAACTTCTACCTATACGTTGATGGTGTTGGTTTGTGTGGGCGGCCTTTGATTTGTGAGTAATGGGCTTTGGAACGGTTTGTTTACAAATGCTGATGGGCCTTTTTCTATTGTTGATCCAGATATCTCAAAATAACAAAATGACAAGCGATCAACGAGCTGAATGATAACGCTATGTCAGGAATGGAAAGCAATAATGATATAATCTTCTTCCCTATTTATCCATGACAAACTGCCTTTGCAATATAGCTCGCTCGGGCCGGTATAAGGAAACGATCAAATTATTGGCAAGCTGCTTCACGAAGTAACGCCGCTGCAGATGATACACGTGTGTTAATGGGATTTTTTTTGTTATGCCTTTTCTCGATTCCGATCAGCTAGTAGTAGTAAAATTCTTCTTTATTTGTGATTTGTTTCGTGGTTTACAATTGCTAATACAGGACAAGAGGTTAGCCAGAAGGGCTCTTCATCTTTGGAAAAAAAAATTAATTTTGTGTTTGTGCATGTCGTGTTTTACTGTTGTAATGTTTTACAATTCTCCTCTTGTGAAGATGGTATGATTTTATTGTTTTAATTTGTTATTCTAACTACTTAACCTAACTTAGCTTAACCTAACCTAACGTGCCAGATCCCTGATGATCTGTTCATCGGATCGCCTACAGCAATCTCTGAACCTTGCGATGGAGTCAGCTCTCCGTAACTCCAGTGTCTGAAGACCAGCCAGGCGTTGGACCTCAGAGTTTCTAGTCCGCGGTGGACTATTGAGGACCATTCTCAGGATCTTATTCTGGATCTTTTGTAATTTGAGATGGTGGCTTTTTGCGCAACTCTCCCAGATTGGCATCGCGTATTCCATTATGGGAAGGATGATTTTTTTTGTAGACAGCAAGCTTATTTCTCAGGGACAGGGTAGACCTCCTGTTGATGAGTGGATACAACGATCTTATCAAGATGTTGCACTTGGTTTTCGTTTTGTCAACTTGCTCCCTGAAAATCAGCCCTAGGTAGACTACCTCTTTCAACCATTCCACCACTGTGCCGTTTACGAACAAGTCTCGGAGATTTAGAGTGTGGAAAGATGATGACCTGGGTCTTTGCCGCGTTGATACAGATCTTCCAGCTGTTGAAATATTCAGACAGGACGTCCAAGCCTCTCTGAAGTTTGGCATTCAGAGCTCCGACGACCCTACCCTTGTAGACGATGGATGTGTCATCTGCGAACAGAGACAACGATCCACCATCAGGGAGAGCCAGCATATCGGAGGTGAACAGGTTGAATAGAATGGGGCCAAGGATGCTTCCTTGTGGAACCCCGGCACCGACGTTGAAAGCATCCGATGTGATGCTATTCAGATAGACTCGGAACGTCTTGTCCGATAGATAGTTGTTTATTATCTTCACTAGGAAGATTGGAAGACCGTAATGCTGCAATTTGAACACCAGGCCATTGTCGAACGCTGTTTCAACGTCCAACAACGCTATGGCAGATATTTTCGAAACATATTTGTTCCGTCTGTGAATGTTTGTTACTCGAGTCAGCTGGTTGACGGACGAACGACCTTTCCGAAAACTAAACTGTTCCTCGGTAACAAGTTGTTTTCTTCGGCACATGTTAGGAGCCGGTGGTAGACTGCTTTTTCGAACAGTTTTGATAACCCTGAGAGAGGGCTGATTGGTCGATAACTTGAAGGAGAGGACGCTTCTGGAGGCACTCTTTTATGTACACCTGTCCGTTCATCGTGTCCTGGGTCACGAAAGGTGCACTCCGCTTCCCGCACGTGCAGATGGCTTCCCAACAAACAATTCAAAGTCACAAATAAGCATACACATTGAATAAATGCTGTATAACAGTGTACAATGCTGAATAAAACAGGATGTCGAATTATGTGCTGAAAAAAGCTCATTGAGATCGATAGATGCGCTTTTATTCCGCCGTTTGCTCTGATATGATTAATTTCCTTATTAAAAGCTTTATAAACGTTGACTGTCTTCCTTATTCAGAACCAGAAGGTTGATCTAATAACAAACTGAATAAGTGTAATTTGCACATACATTGTCGCTTTTATTCGACTGTTTTCAATTGATTGAATAAAATGCTTTTTTAAACGTTTTATAAATGTTTTCTAGCTCCATTATTAGATTTCTTTGCATTGTTTTACAATATTGCTATATAAAGGTGAATACACTCAGCAAAATAGCTCTTATACCACCCAACAAACAATTCAAAGTCACAAATAAGCATATATATTGAATAAATGCTGCATACAGTGTACAATGCTGAATAAAAAGAGTTTTCGAATTATGTGCTGAAAAAGCTTATTGTTCCACTCTGATCTGATTAATTTACTTATTAAAAGCTGTAAAAGTGTTAAATGTCTTCCCAATTCAACGCCAGAAGTTCGATCTAATAACAAACTGAATAAGTGTAATTTGTACATACATTGACACTTTAATTCGACTGTTTTCAATTGATTTCATAACATGCTTTATTAGACGTCTAATAAATGTTCTCCAGCTCCTTTATTAGATTTCATTGCATTACTTTACAATATTGCTGAATAAAGGTGAATCCAGTCAGCATAATAGCTCTTATACAACTATGCGTCCATGTTGTAATCACATGATTTGTAAATGCTTTATAAACGACGTATTAGATTCATTATTCGACAACACTGATTCAGTCTTACAACAAGGCGAAATCAGTAGAGTAGTGGTTACCGTTTCCGCTTT